TGCAAAATATTAAATTATGACCACCCATAAAATTCTTCATTAAGTGCACATTTACATTCTTTTTTTTTTTTTTAAATCCACCACTGAATTTATAGTGTTCAGCATTGAAACAGTCTTTATGCATATATAGCTTCACCTCCCAGCGCCCCTGAGCCTTTATAACGCGCCTCCCCTCCCTGTAGACAAAGAGATAATGTGAAAAATAAATCACCTGTCAGTTGTTTTGACTCTCCAAAGCAAAGGGGAAGTCCAGCATCTCCCTTGTTTAAACTCAGCAGGACAGTAAATCTATCCTTTACAAGGAGGAGTTTCCTGAAGAGGAGAATATTGAGTTCTACATAGAAAAAATTTACCAAGAGGAGAAAGTTTGGGTCACAGGAAACGAAAGCTCTTTGTGCCCCCCACGGAAATGGCCTCACCCCCAAAAGTGCTTGGTTCCCTCGGGGCTGAACATGGACCATGGGGACTGGGATTGGGCTGATGCTGCCCAATTCCCTCCCCGGAGCAGCATCACTGGTGGGAAGGAAGGGGTTTAGAGGCAGGAGGATCACACTTTAATGAGATCAAGCTCGTATTTTTAATTACAAGATGCTCTCCTGCCCCCCACCTCCCCTCACCCCTTCCCACGCTGATGAAGGGCGTGCAGGGCTCGCTGCTAGAAAGCCGGGGAGGGCAGCCACCAGAGAAGGGAGGTGCTTTCATCCAGCCCAGTAAAAACCAGCTCCTCTGCCAGACCATTACAGCAAGAGGACGAGCGGGAGAAGCTAAAGGCCCAAATTCCCAAGAAACCCAACCCTAGAAAGCTCTCCAAGGGTTTTGCCAAAAGGGAGTTTGAGGCTGGGATCTGCAGAGGCGCCTTGGGGGAATTGGTGGGTGCAGTGGCAGTGGGGAGGGAGGGGAAAAAAAGCACAGAAAGAAAAAAAGGAAAAAAGAAAAAAAAAAAGAAGAATCAATAGCAACTGGCAGCATGGCTCCCACAGGGGATGCTGATTTCCTGGCACTGAAGTACATCACAGTACTCCTTCCTCCTCCTTTACGGTTACCCTGAGTTCAGGACTGACTGAAAGCAACGGGCAATGACCCTGTTTTTGGAAACCAGCTTTAAACCACGATCCTCCTGCCCAGCTGATGGGCAGGAGCCCATCGTGCCAGCCCGAGAAGGAGAGAAACGACCCCTCTCTGCACCTCTTTGGGGTAGCACCGATTTCTGCGCCTCGCTGGTGCCATTTCAGAGCAGCTTTGCAGCCTCGGGGACACGGGGCGAGCAGGAGCCCATGTCAAGGACAGAGCTCTGAAGCATCATAGTTTTTTAAAGAGCTGGGACACACGTAGTGACCAGGGACCCTCTGAGCTGGGCAGGGTGGGGAGTGGGGGATTGTCCAAACCAGCTTGGATACGCACAAGCGCCAAAGCGAAGCTGGAGGTGAGGGAGACCACGATGGGACACACACCCTCTGTGACTCATCCGATCCCGTCCGCCCCTCCATGCATCCATAGCTGAGAAAAAAAGCCACATTCCCTCCCCGTCCAGCCTCAGCAGATCACCAGGAGCTGCCAGGATCTCTAGGGAAACCGCAGCCTCCTTAGAGCCATAGCAAAAGTTCTCTGAAGCCAGAGTCCTGGATGAGGAAGATGATGCTTGCATCCATTTGCCCAAGGTGTCAACACCTCCTTTTGGCCATCCTAATTTTGCCACTTTGGCCTCACCTCTGAGTTTTCCACCCCGAGTTGTGGTGTGGAAGGCGTTAGCACTACTTCTCTGGCAGCTGAAGACAGGAGCTGCTCTAGAAGCCGTTCTACAGAGAAGGCCAGGGCCAAAACCGGCTCTTTATCAGCAGGAGAATTGCCCTCCTGTTTCAGTTTAGCAGCTAATTCCTTACAGCTTTTGGAAGAGGAAGAGAAAATATACTGGAAGTTTAAAAACAAATGATGTAAACTCCAAAGGGAGCAAGGTTGGGACATATGCAATGTATCGCCCTAGACACAGAGCTGGAAACTTATGCAGAGACCATAAAGTGCACTTGGAAAGCTTGATCTGCAACCAGGCCAGATCCACCGTCTTCTGTCCAACCAGCTGCAAACTCTTTGCGGAGGGGAGAAGCCATACGTGAGAGCACTTCTGCTAAATAGGGACAAACCTGCCCTAGAACCGCCCCTTTCCCCCCAAAAAAACTAACCAGCAACTGTAAATAGATTAATTTTTTCCGATTCTTCCCAGCCAGCCACAATGGCTTGAGTGGGACCCACAAAAAAAAGGCATTTCGCAGACACTTGAGAATTGTCCCCGCGGCTCTTTGACAAGTTACATTCAAGGGCACTTAGAGGTAACGGCATCACAGAACCTCCCTCTGCAGCTCCAACCAACCACTCTGCAGGAACGGACCAGGTACAAACCCAGCACGAGGTGAAATAACCTTCTCAGCCTTTGACTCGGACTTGAGAAGCTGCCAAAGCATAAATAGCAACAGTCACTAACGAGGCCCTAATTCTGCCATCACCAAACGCTCGAATTTCCATGAACTAAGACCCAGGCTGTAAGAGGAGGGAGAGGGGTGGTGTGTGTGTGTGTGTTTTGGCATGTACAAGATTGCATGTAGTGTCACAAGTGTAAAACACCCCCCCAAGCACTAGCAATACTAACAGAAGTCTTATTAATCCAATTCCCTTTAGTATTTTGCTACAAATTAAATTAGTCCTTTTCTCTCCTGAGAGAGTCAGACTCTCCCCCTTTGGTTCTACTGGATCTGGTCTATGTGGGTCCAGTGCCCAGGGCCATGCAGATGGGCTGACACTGGTCCTGGGGTTTTTTTATTCATTTGCAGGAGGAAAACCAAGGGTTATGCATAGAAATGTTCGTAGCGTCAAGGCCTCAGACTAAATTCTTTGGAGCAGGACCCGTCCTCTGCCTTCTCCTTGTACAGGAGCCAGACGTGGTCGTCCCACTTGGCAGCTTTTGTCAGACCCCAAGAAGATTAATACCATGTTTGCTCCCATTCTCCTGCTCAACACCAAAGGCTGGACAGACATTTTTCCAATCTGTCATTTCACGCGTACCTCAAATATTTACAGAGGAAAAAGGTTCTCACTCATGAGAACAAGAGTTAACTTCGCTTTCAAACAAAAACCCCTCCCAATTCCATATTAACAAGTGTGAGACTATGTCCTGAACCGCAGCCCTGGCCCATGAGTTCAGCCCAACACATCTGTAAATGATCGTCAACAGCAGGATCAGACCCAAAGGATCAGACTTGGAAGGGAGCGCGGCATCCGCAGCCTGCAAACACTGAAACCGAGCCTCTCTCAGGGCACTGGAGAAAGCAGTGCTCAAGCAACAGGAAGCATGTGAAGGCAGCTTGGAAAGGAGTCAGGAAAAAACCCAATGTTCATTCTGAAGATGGAGTTTCAGGTCTGGAAGAAGTTGATGCAAAAGAATTAAATAAATATGCCAGGGGTGAGGAAGGTTTTGGGTGCTCCCCTGGGCCGGGAAGGCAGCAGCACCTCCCAAAAGCAAGGAGTATGTGAAAAATGGTCACGCAGCCCCTGTGTCTCAGGTGCACAGTGAGAAGGTGAAATGTGTACAGAGCTGCACCCAGCCCCGTGTCCATCCACAACCCCTGCGCTCCCAGCACCACCACCACCAAAACCTGCATCAGGATTTTTGTAGGAAAAGAGGTGGAGGCAAAAAAAAATAATAATAAACGAAGCACAGTGACTATTTGTCTCACTCACAACCTGCTGATGGGGAATTACAGAAGAGCGATCACAAGACACAAGGAAGAGGCCTGAAGAGATTCTTGTGGTACAAGGACAACGCAGTGGGTGAGGTCTCTGCCCCAAAGCTGCAGGGCTCATCCCAGCCCTGGAGCTTGGAGCTGAGATTGGCTTTACAGGACACACTACTGAGGCACACGGCTCCGTACGGGATGAGAGATGGGGTGGAGTTGGGACACATCTCCAATTCATTCCCTTTATAGAGGCCTGACAAGACCAAGACAGGCTCAAAGCCTCCTCCTCAGGAGGAACATACACAACGATGTCGCACACCCCCTCCACTCCCAAACCCCCCAGCAAGTGTCAGAAGTGCCATAAATCCACAAAGGACACAAGGTGAATCTCATCCTGAGAAATCCCTCTGTTGTTCCTGGAGGAAAAAAAACCCCTTTGCTGCAAACCCAGGGCTTACCTGAGGGGACAGGGAAGGTCATAAATAGCTTGAGCTTCTCCCAAAATACATTTGAGGAAAGGCAAAGAATTACCTCAAGGGTCAGGAAAACAGTCATTTTTAAACACTGTAAACATGCAGGGTGGCAAAGCTGCCTGCCCCAGTTGCCCCAGCCCTATCGCTTTCAAGACGTTGGCTTCAAAGCCAAAAGTCTTCTTTTTGTCCTGGAAACAGCTCCGTTTTCCCACCTCCCTGTCCTTAGCTGGCAGCTCCGTCACAAATGACCGCGGGCTCTGTCCCTTTGGCCATGAAGCTCATCGTCCAGTAATCTGCGCTGGCGTAACCTTTGGAAGATGCAAGAGAGGCCAAATTAGATGAATCCATGTATAATGACCGCTCGCATTTCCTGTGAAGCTCTTCAGAAAGACACTGCCCTCAATGACACACTGAGTTTGTGACACCTGGCTGAGCGTTGAGTCTTCTGTAGCCCAAAATGCTCAAGTTTGAATAGAATCATAGAATAGTTCAGGTTGGAAGGGAGCTTAAAGCCCACCCAGTGCCACCCCCTGCCCTGGGCAGGGACACCTCCCACCACACCATGTTGCTCCAAGCCCCCTCCAACCTGGCCTTGAACCCCTCCAGGGATGGGGCAGCCACAGCTTCTCTGGGCAACCTGGGCCAGGCTCTCACCACCCTCCCAGAAAAGAAGTTCTGCCCCAGATCCCATCTCAATCTCTCCTCTTTCAGTTTAAAACTGTTCCCCCTCATCCTATCCTTTTCATACTGAGCACCTCAGGGTAGCCCATTGTTTGTCGTTTAAAACTGTTCCCCCTCATCCTATCCTTTTCATACTGAGCACCATTGTTTGTGTTCCAGGCCACAAACTCCCAGTCCAGAATGATCCCTCCTCCATACAAGCAGCCACACACCAGTTTAGAAGTGGTAATGGCACACAGAGGTTTTAGCCAGAGAAGACCCAGCTGGAAGGAGGCTCCTGACTCCAAGGGATCTCCCAGACCCTGCACGCTTCAACCCAGGGACTCACCCAGATCTCCAGCTTCCAGCTCCACCTTGAAGGTCTCACAGTGTCCTCTGCACTCGTCCCGAGGTACGACCGTCAGGGTGAGCTGCCCACTTCCAACGGCAAAGAGGCTGTGCAAACCATAGCTCTAGGAGAAGAGGACAACATTTCAGAGGCCTTGGGTCTGCCTGATCAAACAAGGAGCAGATCACTGCCCTACAGCAAGGTGAGACAGCCCAAACCACAGATTTGCTTCTCACCCAAGTTAGCATTAGATCGTAGCTGGGGTCACCTCCATGCAAGTGTCCTCCTCCTCTCTTCTGTCCAAGGCCCTCCACACCCACAAAATCCACAAAAAAACAGAGGAGACCAGACTGAAGTGTAATTATCTTCAGTGAAATGTCTCCATGGCAGGTATGAAATATCTCCATGGGGTCACCTCCATGCAAGTGTCCTCCTCCCCTCTTCTGTCCGAGGCCCTCCACACCCACAAAACCCACAAGAAAATGGAGGAGACCAGGCTGAAGCATAATTATCTTCAGTGAAACATCTCCATGGCAGGTATCTCAGAATGGGTGAGACTTACTGCCAGGAACTGCTTGGTACCACCTGACCAAAACTAGACACAACTTCTGGGTGGTACAACACGTTACACACAACTGATACAAGACTAAACCCTCCTGCCAGGATTCTATCAGCTGAAAATGTCCTGCAAATCCCCTGAAGACTTGGGGGACCGAAGGACAGCTCACAGACAGGGAGACAACATCTCTGGGATGAATTTCTCACCTTATTCCCCAAATCCGGGTGGCGGATGAGGAAGCAGCTCTCCAAGGACACTGTCTTGGGGAAGGACAGCAAAGAAGAAGTGGGGAAAAATTCCTGCAGAATCCGAGTTTTATTCACAGATTTGTTCCTAAACAAAAGAAATCAAATTATGCCATGATAATGCTTGTATTTAAAAAGCTACTTCCAAGATCAAAACTCTTCCCAGGCTTGATGAAGAGCCTGCTGACAGACTAGTCCCTAGGAGCAAAATTTGACCTCTCAGCTTCTAAACCTGTGCTCCTTCATATTTTCATCTCAACACCTGCAGCAGGACCACGTAAAAAGGGAATAAACAGATCATCGTGGATGCCTAAACTTAATTTCTCTCCCTTCTCTTCCCTTAAAATGATGTGAGTCACTGTTGAGCTCCACTAATTACAGCAGATGCGGAGAGGTGCCATTGTACGCAGCCGTAACTGAAAGCACATGGCAAGGCAGGGGGATCCAAGCCTGTTCTCCAGGCCAGGGAATGTAACTGGAAAAGGCAGGGTGGGGCTTCTTATTTTTACATCCCCGTCTAGTGCTGTGACATGATTAATACTTCTGCATTCAGTAGAATTAATCATCCATCTACCAGCGCTGTGGCCGTGAAGTGCAGCGAGAAGATCCCATCTAAGCATTAGCCAAAGCACGGACCCCACCATGAGCTTCTCCAAGGGCTTGGACACTGCTTTTTACTTCCAACAAAGGTGCCAGGGAGCCTGCTCCACACCAGGTGGCACCTTCCCATGTTATTTCTCACCCTTCTCCATGTGAAAAGACATAGGTTGGGTTGCTCTGCCAACCTTAGAGTCCTCCAAATTGTTCACAAGTCTTATAGCCACCTTCTCCATGTGAAAAGACATAGGTTGGGTGGCTCTGCCAAGCTTAGAGTCCTCCAAATTGTTCAAAAGTCTTGTAGCCACACTGAAGGCTTTAGCAAAAAGCTTTTAGTTAACAGAGGGTCAGGATTTAGGGTTGGCATTTTTCCTGCATGAGACCAAACACAAATTGCAGGGGCCCCTGGCTTTCTATTAATTTGTGGTGTTTTGCTAAAATCATGGCACCTCTTCTTGGTCAACTAATGGTGGAGGATTTCCACTGGGCAGACAGCAGTGATGAGAAATGTAAACCAGTTGCCTCAGGTGATCAGACCACAGCCCAGATGATTAATGTATGGCCTGAAGAACAGGACTGAGCAATCACTGGGATATTTTTGTCTTGTAAGGGGAGAAATACGTGAAGTCCCAGCCACAACACTCCATTTTTAGTGCAGAAGTCTTCTGCTTGGATAAAATCAGTGCCAGCAGGCAGATGGAAGCCCGTAACCCACTCCTGTTTCCCTTCCCTCCAGTTAAAGTGCAACTTGCAAGCTCCTGGGGATTCGTATCAGCCAAAACCCTGGCACCCCTGCAGAAGGGATGTACATGCATCTGTCAGGTGTTTGGTCTTTGACTCACCAGGGAAAGAAAAATGGGCAGCTCCACAATTCAGCTGAATTTTCTTCTATTATAACCTCTGCCAGGTCTGGATCCTGGGACTGAAAATGCTTCAGTTCTTCATAGGAGAGATGCTGCCCTGTCTTAAAAGACACATCACAAAGATAAAAGCTGTGCACCTGGGGTTCTCTTCCCCTCTCCTGTTTCCATCCTGCCAAAGAACAACCAAAAGCTACAGCCATCTAGATCGCTAAGTTTCCAACCATAATGATAATTACTCAGAGAACCAACTTGCTAAGGATGCAGTGAGCTCCTCACCCCCTGACATCGTTAAACTGGAGCTACATATCTTAGATATTTCTTCTACCTCTATCAACAGCTGGAGTTTGTGATTAAAAATGGGTCAGGGGTCTCTGGCTGGTGCTAATCAAGAGTTTGGACTCATCATCCGGCCTTACATGTCCGTGCATTACCTTGATTAGAAAAGGCTGAGACCTCTGGAGCTTTTCTGATAGTTCTCCCAAGTCTGTCACTATCTGAAGGCTTCTCACAGAGGAACAGACTGTGCAGTTTGCAGGAAGCGTAGAAGTGTTCTGTCTGCAACCTGCTGCCCACCAGTCCTGGCATTCTTGGGAAGAAACAAGAGAAACATCTTTAATAAGACAAAAAATAAAACAGAAAGGAGACTCTCTCAATGATAAACTCATTCTCTCGAACACGAAACACTGAGATTTCTTATAGCTGTAAGTTACTCTAAAAGAATAAGCTTCACCAGGCCAGGGAACTCATTGCAGAACGCTTCCAGGACAAGCTGAAGGTTTTGGGGTAAGGCTTGGGGTTGTGAGAAAAGGGAGAGCGTTATGGAAATGCCACTTCTCTGTACACAAGGCATACTGGCCAAGTCAACCTTTCATCGTCAATAGAAGGATGGCAACCACTATATCTAGTGCAGTTAAGTCAAAACAAGTCTACAGTCAAAAGAGCAATTCAAACATGTTCTCAAGGAGACACTCAGAAGATGAAAAAATAAAAATAAAAAAAAAAATATCAGGTTGAAAAGAGCAACAGCAACTCTATCATGGTTAGCCCTGGTGCCATGAATCCTGTTAAGACATCCCTGAAATCACCACCCTCCCTTTCACCTCTGTATTAACTAAGAAAGATTCCGTCCCAGGGAGAAGATGCTGACCAACATGGGATTTCACCAAGATGTGCTGCTGCTGGTTTCATTCATCCCATGCATTGACTTGAAGACAAAATGGGGAGAAAAGCCCCAACACGAAGAATCCCTGGATCATAACTCTATTCATTTTAAATTCCAGAAATCATTGTTACATCATGATCAGCTGAACTGATCTACAATAAACTCTGCATTCGTTTACATCTTCAAAAATTCAATTTTTTTACAGGAAACCATTGCTTGATGCCCATATCCTGCCTCCATCCTACAACTTACCAGCCCTCCCAGCACAAAAAAAGTAAGTAAACGTTAACAGAAGAGACTTGCTGCAGCACTGAATGAACAGAAGAAGAGCGGATAATGCTGAATGTCCCACATTCCAGTTTTGGGCCCCCTGCCATAAAAAAGACATCGAGGTGCTGGAGCGGGTCCAGAGAAGGGCGACAAAGCTGGTGAGGGGTCTGGAGAATAAGTCTTATGAGGAGAGGCTGAGGGAACTGGGGTTATTCAGCCTGGAGAAGAGGAGGCTGAGGGGAGACCTTATTGCTCTCTCCAACTCCCTGAAAGGAGGGTGTAGAGAGGTGGGGGTCGGTCTCTTCTCTCAAGTCACAGGCGACAGGATGAGAGGAAATGGCCTCAAGTTGCGCCAGGGGAGGTTCAGGCTGGATATTAGGAAAAAATTTTTCACTGAAAGGGTTCTCAGCCCTTGGACTGGGCTGCCCAGGGAGGTGGTGGAGGCCCCATCCCTGGAGGTGTTCAAAAGCCGGGTTGATGTAGTGCTGGGAGGTCTGGTTTAGTGATGATGCTCCTTGTTTGTTGTGCGGGTGTCTATTTTTGTCAGTTAGGCTGATCTTTAAGGTCCCTTCCAACCTAGAAGATTCTGTGATATTTCTATGCTAAAGGAATCGCAGGAGCAGCCACCACACTAAAAGGACGTGGCTTTAATTTCATGGCAGTGACAGCCCCGGTTCTGCAGCCTTAATCTGATGGGGAGACACCCAAAGGCCTGATCTGTCAGGGTGGGCTAGGAAACAGTGAAGGCTGAGTCATCCCAAAACGCTCCAAAATCCGTCCCCTGGCCAAGCCCACCCTCCCCAGCATGTATCAAAAGAGCTAGTCTCTTCTGGCCATCGCTGCAGGTCACCCACTTGGGAAACAGAGTGGGTAGGAAAAGTGAAGAGGAAGAGACAGGGAAACCTGGCTGAAAAATAAAGTTGGGAAACACGGATGCACGGCAGCTTCTCGGGGGGAAAAAAAAAGACCACACACAGCCCGTTACTGCCATCGCGGTTTCCAGCCACACTCATGCCCCTGCACAGGGGTAATAATTGATGAACAGCACTTAATAGTGCTCCTGTTTTATTTTTCCCTCCGACTTCTGCAACAGACAACAAGGAATGTTATAGAGGATTTAGGTTCATTGGGACATAACAACAAGGTGCAGATTTGGATTAATTTTGCTTTTTTTCCCTCTCTAAGTATGTCCAGTCGACTCCCAAATGCTGCATTTCCCACCCTACTGCTGGGATAGGGGCTGAAAGGGACTAGGATATAATTCCTAGTCTTTCTGGAAGACGCATCTACATTGCTGTCAGGGAAAGGGGTAAAAAGGCAAAACAAAGTGTAAAATCCTCATTGCGAGCAGAAGTCCCACTCCCATGAGAAACTGCTCCAACGTCCTTTCCCTCCCCGCTCACAAGAGAAAAAAGAAAATCTTTGTTCCACTGCCTGTAGAAAGCTTCAATTTTACAACAACAACAACAACAAAAAAACTCAACTCACAAAAAACAGCTGGTCAGTGACAGGAAACAAAAGGCTGAAAGATCTCACCAGAGGAAGGGCAGTTGCCATGAAGAAAACAAGAAAATCTATCTTAGGGTCTCTCATCACACACAGGGAGTGGCAATACTCTAATTTCTTTCTGGGCAAAACTTAGAAACCTCATCCCAGAGCGTTAAGCACAGTTGTCCCAAAATTTTCCTCTTCAGGCTCCGGGCAGTGCCCCACGTAAGGGGATGCTAATCAGCCTGACAGTATAGAGCTTGATTCCTCTTTTGAGCTAAGCTGGGATATTTGCATTCTCAATTGCTCGATTCAGGAGGTTATTTCTTTTCCCCATGAATAACCCAAGCGGAGCACGGTTGAGACGCATTTCAAATGCCGCAAAGTGGGGTTGTGGGATTGTTGGGTTTTTTTGTTTTTTGGGTTGGTTTTTTTTTTTTGGTAATTAATCTTTTAGATTTATTGTTGAGGGTGTTAGCCTGTGCACCAGCACGCGTGTGACTGGCATGACAAGTACAGGCAGAAATGCCTGCCCTTCCCAGGGAGGGAGGGAGGGAAAAGAGACAGGGTGCAGAGGAGAGGGGACCGGAGCAGGGATGCAACTGCTCACGGGGGACCAGGGTTTTTACCAAGGATGCTCATTTTCTCTTTCAATTACCCTCCCTGCATTCCTTTTACATTATCACCCTGCCCAGACACCCCGGGGGAATATTTTTTGGTTGAAATCAAGCACGCTGTCTGCGTGCACGCACGGGCTGCTCGGAGACTGAAGAGAAAGAGACACGCTCTTCATCCCAGTGTGACCATCACGTGCAGCTGTCACACCACGGTCCCGTCCACTCACATTTGAATGGTGAAGTGCTGGGTGTGTGTGATTATCCCTCTGGAGCCCGAGTGCAGGAAAGCAGCTGTAGCCTCCACACGTACAACTATCCATTACACGACGGAAGCGCAGGTCAATCACAGCCTGAGCGTGGAGGAGAGGTTGGTTTTCTCACCCCTCCTTCAGGAGGGGCCTTCAATTTAGAAAGCAGACCCTCCCCATCGGTCATACCCACCTAATATTTGCTTTTATGCTTAATTAGCTCTCCAGAACAAGAGCTGTCTCCTCCCCTGTGTCAGGATAACTCCAAGCAGAGCCAGGGCTGGGGACTTCCAGCTGCTAACACAACACAGACAGAGAGATAACAACTTCTCCTTACAACGCGCCTATGATTAATGCTGGAAGGAGTTTATGACTGTACTTTCCACTATGTAGAAAAATAATTTTCAAGTCGCAATCAGCTTAAAAATGAGTACTCCGCCCTTCTTGGCCATTTTCACAGAGGATCTCCCAAGTTCTTGGCTGTCCCCAGAACCAGAGAGGGGTGTGTGTGCACAACCCTAGAGATGCTGGGTGTGGATGATCAGATTGGAAGCTAAGAGGTTACTGAGAAGACCTGGCATCGCTTCTACAGTTTTATTGCAGTGAAGCAATAAAACTTATGGAAACTTGCCCACATCGATCCGAGAGCAGAACCTCAGCAACAGCCCCGGTGTCTTCAGGGACGATACGGAGGGCTAAATACCAGTCTGCAACCACAGCAGGTTCAAAGGGAAGCCCTGGAGCTGGGTGACCTTTTGCTCCTGTGAGATACATGGAGCCAAGGGTTGTTCCTGACCATAATGAAGTGGTGAGAAAGTAAAACCTGCTGCATGCAGAGCTGCAGGTGCCGAGGCAGCCTGCTGGCTTCCCACCAGACTGGTTTGCTGGCTCCCAACCATGCTGGTTTGCTCCTCAAGCACTCCGAGCTGTGAGGCTGAAGGCATCTCCAGGAGGTAAGTGACAGTTCAATCTGTGCAGGACTTCACAGCTCCCCTGGGTTTTTGGTCCCTATGGGCTGTTGCTACCCTCATCCATGATAATTAGAAGAAAGCTCCCTGGAGGGTTGTCTAACGCTCTGAGCAGCTCCACAATCTGCAAAAGTTGGTTCCAAATCCCCAATTCCTCTGAGGACAACATTCCCCATTCCCACCTCATACCTCACTAGGGACCAGTGACCTCTTTTTTCTAACTTAGTGAGAGATTCTACCTTCTAAAATATATTTTATCCTTTTAAAAATACGTTCTACCTTCTTAAAGTACATCACTAGGAGCATCCAATCAATTTCCGCGAGCCTAGGATGAACTCGGGGCTCTCAAGAAAGACTGTGAACTGAATATTCACAAGATGTTTCTCTGTCCTTTCTCGTAGGTCCCTTGGACAAGCCTGGCTGGAAATATTCATTAAACCACACCACTTTTGGACTGTCCCTCCCAAGGTCCAACGTTGCATCAAGAACTACAAAAATACTTGTGATGAGGGTAGGTGAGCAGGGAAACCTCAGGGCTCTCAAAAAGCACAACCAACTCTATCTTGGTCAATTCCAGCACAAGCTCAGGATGGGGTGGACTCACCTGGGCCTGACCCAGGGACTCATTTAAGGAGCTGCACTGACAGCCACCACCTTGTTCCTACATGCTGGATCCAACCATGAGAAGATGCTGATCCCCACTTCTACAGTGCCTGCACACTGCTAAAAGTTGGGGAATTTTTCAGTTCAAAGGAAGGGATTAAGAACTCAGCCTACCCTCTTCTCTCTGTGACCATGCTTTCCCCTCAGCCTTTGTGGACGTGCATGTGACA